AAGAGAAGGAAGAAGAGGAGGAAGAAGAGGAGGAGGAGGAGGAAGAGAGTATGGTGGCACTGCAGCTGGCTATAACCCATAAGACTTTCCCTGAGTGAACCACTTCCTTCAGTAAAGTCTACTTTCTAAAGGCTACACAGCCTTCAAGACAATGATAAGCAGTTGAGGACCAAGCCTTCAAACACGTGAGCATTTGATGCTTTGAGGTTTCTAGGCACTGATGATACACTCTCTGTACACATTACTTAACAAGCAAAGAGAAATGATTTTATGAAAATCTTACATTATCAGTATTTTATTAAGATGTCATAAAATAGATACTGTTTTATTTAGTCAACAAAATACTTGGAATCATAATATTACGTGTCACACTGAAGAATACAACATATTGTTTGCATGGTCAATTAAATTTAGACTAAAGACAGGTATTTCAAAATTTTATAGGTTCCTGAGGGATTGGACAGGTCTATTTTGGGTCATAGAGTTTGTAGCCCAGCCTCTTGCCATATGGATACATAGGGTTCCCCACCAAGTGTCTGCTGATGGTCTGCCAAGCATCCATGTGGAAATGTCAGACTCTGACACTTCCCCATCAACTATCCGACTCTTATTCTCTAGGCGCAAGTGTACAGTCATGAAACAAAAGCTCAGAGAGAAGCTTTACCATTGCCGGGCAGCTCTGGCAATGGCCGGAGGTTATGCCTGGAATGTCCTTTGAGCAGATGCTTGTAGTCACACTCATGTTATGGGAAACCCGAGAAAGGAAGGGTCCTCATGCTATATCAAACTTGTGTGGTAGTGTGGCCAACGATGAGCCTCTGGGTAATCAATCCAGGGTGATGATGTGAGCCCCGACAGAGAGTAGTCACCTATTTTTATTCAACTTAGGCCATTTTTTTTAAAAGTAAGTTGGATGAGAAATAAAGGAAATTCTCCTGCAGTGACACTTGTGTAGCAATAACTTCTTCACTGTGCGGTCTCCCTGAGACTAATAGCTAGCAGGCCCATTCACACAGAGGGATGTGCACTTCTGATCCCAGAGTATTTGTTCAAATATGAAGAACAAAATTAGTTCTGGATGTCTTTTCAGGCAATCCTTATAGGAAAGGCGATTTTGCTAGCTCTTTCCAAGACAAAATTACAGAGAGAAATCTGTTCGCTCAAGTTTCCATCACTCGCACTAACCCCAAATCATTGTAGCAGATAATGGGGAGAAATGACAATATGCTATGCCACCTATTAATGCCAAGACTTGGGTCCCAGCTTAACACTTAAATTCTGAGGAAAGTCATTGACAGGTTTGATCTCACCTTTCTACTCTGAAAAACATGTGGACAAGGTCCCTCTTCTTACACTATCCAGCTTTTAAATTCTATTTAACCACAAGGAAGAACAGCATTAGCTATTTTAAAAAGCATTAAAAATCTTTTTCAACACCCAAGAATGGGATGTTCATATTTACATAGAAATAGAATTAAAGATGTTTCTATTGAGGAATTTTATCCAGTGTTCTGGAGCCACAGGATTACTCAGAACTGTTTTACTGATAATCTCTACATTAGGCAGATGGGATGTTCAAGATCACTTTCCCTTTAATGCTCAAATTGCCATCCTAATCTTGCACAAGGTCTTTGAAGTGGGTTCAGTGTCTTATTCAGTTTGATCTCTCCCTTGAGTATGAAATGATTATAAATATTTGTGGAAGGAAGGCACCGTGCAAACTGGCTAGTGGTTTCTTCATTAAAATACTGAAATGATGGGAAATCCTCACATTGTATTTACACAGATAGTTCGATGACTTTTACATGTTTGCCTCAAGTCTCAGAAAAACAAGAAAGAAAAGGGAGAAGATACGGAGGGAGAAAGATATCCTCACAAGACTTTCCTTTTCACTAGGCACTGATAAGTCTCTGTGCAGTTCTCTCATAACTCTACTGTGGACTTTTGTAGTAGCACTTGAGTGATCCTGTGATACCTCAGAGCCCATGAGTAGGGTAGTGCCTTTAAAACACAGCGCAGAGAAGCCCAGAATGCTCCTTTGAAAAGTGAAGACATCGTTTGCCATGAGGAGATTACAGCTGGCCACATGGTCCTTTCTTTCTTGTGTTATTATCATGCCTTGTATGGCTTAATCTTATGCTAAGGAAAAAAGCAGAAGCCATTCATAAGTGAGACTGAGCCCAAATGCAAAATATCTCATCTCAATGGCAAATATAACACACAAAGAAAATATTTCATTGTCCCTGGAAACACTTCCTGGTAATAATCTCAAGTGTTTGTAAGAGGGAAAATGATAAATTCTAGTTGCATCCTTTGGCTTTACATGTGGTCCACATACAAAAAGCAAATAAATTCATTGTGTTTGCAACTAGTACAAAAGAAGAAACAAACAAACAAACAAAAACATACCAGTGAATAGTGGCAGCACCACGTGTCTGTTAACTTGAATTCGTTTTTGGATTTGAAACTAAGATCCATAGAAATCACATTTGTGTTTATTGCTTTTTTGTTAATGTCAAAAGACTAACGAAGCAGGGTGCACATAAGACAGACACAATAAAGCTGCCACATCCTAGAACAACTATAACATGGTAGAACGGGAAGAGACACCTGGGGCCCATTCCCACCCACTGTCTGTCTTTATAAATAAAGTTTCACTGGAAGCAGAGCCAGGCTCCTCCATTCACTGTTGTCTGTGGCTGGGTTCACAGTACAGCGCCATAGCTAAGAGACTACAACAGAACCCGGATGGCTCATAATTTTAAACACAGCCACTGGTCCTCTACACAGAAGCTTGCTGACCCCTGTTCTATGCTATTTATAATCCTTAACTGTGGAGACCTTAGCCTACAAGTTACACAGCTCATGGGTTCTTTTTTAAGGGAAAAGCATGAGTATTTTCACTAGCCTATCTCCAGGTTGTCATTTGGTCATCATGTTCTGTCAACAAAGTCTTTTCAGCAGGACTACCTAAACAAACCTTTATTCCAGACCCTTCCACTATTTCCACGCACCAGTCCATTTACTTCTTAAATTAAAAGGATCAACACATTCTCTCTTACATATTTTTAACAAAACAGGGACCTTTACCATTGTGCAAACATATAAATATGTATATAAAAGAAGATACAATGTACTAACCATGAATGACACTTGTTGCATACAAACACAGCTTAAAAGGAAGACTATGTATAAATATGTATATAAAAGAAGATACAATGGACTAGCAATGAACGAAACTTGTTGCTCACAAACACAGGTTGAAGGGAAGACTATTAGCACATCATTCCAACAAAAATGCCAGAATTAGACCCTTTCCAGATAAGAACTTAGAATACAGTCTCCTCAAAAGCTCCTATCAACACTGTAACAGCTATACCCTACCCAAGAGAATGGAAATATGTTTTCAACCAAAGTTAGAGTTTTTCTATCAACACACATCCTTAAGAGCCATGACAAAATAACCTTTACTTCTTTTTCTTAGAGTATCTTATGTAGCCGAACAGAGTTTTCAATAAAATCCTATGGATATCTATTTTGTCATTGTCTACACCAGAAACTACCTAGACAAATAGTCTTATTTAGAAGTGTGTCTAGCACTCAAAATTGTTCAGTGTAGGTACTTATTGATGACAGATACATAAATGAAGACTGAATTTCCATCTTTCTTTGGCTGTAAAAGTCTTTGTATCTCTGAAGGCTGAGAATGGCTCAGCCTGCATACTGTTCTTACAGAGGACCTGACAGTCCTCAGAACCTGTTGCTAGTTGCTGGCAAAACTAGAGCTCCAGGGAGATCTGATGACTCTAGCCTTCACTTGCACGTGTCCTCATGTGTGCATTCACACACACACACACACACACACACACACACACACACACTAAGCATAAAGTAAATCTTTGAAAAAAATATGCTATCCTTCTAAAACAGAGAAGTACAGGTCATAGATGAAGAAAAATAATGAGATGCACATCTTTACAAATGATATTTAAAACAGATGAAACAGATGGGAATTCATGGGTGAGAAGGATAAATATCACAGCAATGCCTAACCAAGGCACTCCACACGTCGGCACAGTCGCTGTTTAGGCGCCGGTGAGGGTGCCCATGCCCCTTTGGTGCCCCTTGTTAGACCCCCTTTTGGTCTATTTTTGGAGACAGGATCTTTTCTAGTCCATTCTAGCCGACGAAAGCCTTGAACTCCAGATCCTCCTGCCACTACCTCTGGAGTGCTGTGCTGACAGGTGGTCCCCACCACAACAGGCTTCTCTTCTAGTGTTTTATGCCCCCCATAGACCTAATACTAGACATGGTCATGGCTTTTTAATTAGACTTACAATGCTGTTTCTACATTTCGAAAGTGATATGCTGTGGCTTTGGAGAAACCTGCTTCTCAAATTGTGATGTGCGATTTGCATTCCCATGTAGTAAAAGCACGTGTTTATTAGGAAGACAATTGGAAGTCTGCAACCCGTTGCCAAGTGGCCCCACAATAATAACCTAGAAACAGTAGAGATAACTCCCTTTAGCCCTAACTTCACTGTTATGTTCCTTGACCATGGCAAGTTATTCCAATAGTCAGAAATATCAGCTTTTTTAAAGCACAGAATTGTAATAATTACATAAACCAAAGTATTTGTGGATATTAACGAATATAACATAGTCCAAGTTCCTGATTTATCACAAGTTTTCAGTAATGAGTGCCTATTTTTTTGGTAGCATATTCAATAAAGACCCATCTGAGGCTAGCATGTGTCCGCTCTGCATAATTTTCCATTACGTAAGAAACACATCACTCAGGTCATTCAGGAGGCTGACAGAGTATTTACAGCTGTACCCTAGGCATGTATAAAGAAAATGACGGCAAGACTCAGAAGGGGCTGAGGTCAAGGTAATGTGTGGTCAACTGTAACATCCGCTTTATCTCTTTGGTTAAATCATGCTCCCTGCCTCTGGATCTGTTCCTTCAAGGAAACAGGAGTTATGATTTGTAGGTCCCTTTAAAGCTAGCAATTTCCCCTTTCACAAAAGGGGAAAAAGCCTGGAACGTAATAAAGTGGATTTGTATTAAGCTAATTCCATGGTAATTTTACCCAATCACAGTCCTAGGCACTCTGTCAAGCGAGGGTTTATGTGAGCGCTTCTGAAACACTTCCCAGTCCCTCCAAAATCATTTCTGTTTCCATTATAAATAAGTTTCCATAGCCCTTGCAAACTAATAATATTTGACAATATTTTAAAAACACATTGCCAGGTTGGCTTAGAATGTTACAGGTTAAAACCTTGGTTTGCTCTTCCTTACAATTTTTCGTAAATATTAATTCAGATCTTCCTGACCGTTCATTCCCAAGGACATACTTCAAGGTCCCATTGAAACCATGGACAATTTGGTGGTTACTACTTGGAAAGAGAAGAGCCTGGTGGCTGGAGACTAGAATCTTGGATAGTGACCTTCTGAACCACAGCTTACAGGTGACACAGACTGGACACATTCCACAGCAATAAGGGTGCAGGATGGTCACCTTAAGGAAGAGGATGGGTCCTTAATAGGCAGAATTTTTGTCTCTATTTCTCCCTTAATTTTTCTCCCATTTTGGCTTTGAATAACCTGTTTAGAAGCCATCCAGGGATCACCCATCATGGCATCCCAGATCTGAAGATTTTAATAAGAAAGGTGAGGTACTTCATTTATACTCTTGTTTCTTTCTGTTCATTGGTCACTCATCACCATTTAGTACAGCATGGCAGAAAGGGCAGAGTATAAATCTCCATAGTTAGTAAATTAAGAAACGTATAAAGTAAAATCCAACAAACGAAGTCATATTTTAAAGAAATAAATTTGGGCGACTAGACTGTAAGACAATCATGAATGTCACCATGTGGGGAGAAATGTAGTAACTGAAAATTAATGCAATTAAGGATACTTTATGGAAAATATTCTCACCTCTTGTATTTAAGGTAACAGAGGACTGAAAGATTCTAGAGAGTCACTGTTGATGTTTCCCCAAAGATATCCCCACTTCTCTGTTCTAAGAGCATGTTTGCCCGGCTTTGAGCATCATCAGTGATAAAAAGAATTCCATAAAAGTTATCATTCAACTCACGGCCATGGCTTGGAAGACATGGCCCCCTAACGTCTAGTGGGTAGAAGCACTTGATGCTCTTGAAGATGACTCCTTTAGTTCCCAGCACCCATGTTAAGTAGCTCATAACCATCTACAATTCCAGCTCCAGGGCATCTGCCGCCCTCTTCTGGCTTCTGTAAGCATTTGCACTCCCACAGAGAAACACGCACATAAATATAACTAGGTAAATCAATAAAATGTATCTGGTCTGTTCACCCCAGCTTCAGAAGGATGTAGTGAGACTAGAATAGGGCCAGGGAAAAGTTACCAAGTTGGCAGATGAGAGGAAGAACAGGCATATTAAACTTCCTAGAAGAAAGTCATGAATTCTTAGAATTGGAATTATTCTTTGACATCATATATACCAGATTGTTCCTGACAAATAACTAAATATTTAGTTATTTGAAACAAGTTATATGCCAAGACCCATCTTAGACATCTTCACTGTTTTTTCTGCCCTGATTTTTTTCCTATAGGATATAGCTGTTTCTAAATTCAGTGCATTTTATTCTTTAAGCAAAAATTTTAGCTATTTAAATGATAAAGTATGATTACTATTAAAAGTACATTTAAAATAACACAATTTTGAAAATTCTGAGAATATTTGAAAGTACTGAATTATTGTCCTTGAATCTCAAATAGTGACATGCCAGGAATTTTAAAATACTAAGCAACTTTTTTGTTACATTGTATCATTGTTGATGCACAAATTGTATCACTGTTGCTGAGTAAATGTAGGGATTTTTTAAAATAAAAAATTAAAAGGAAGCTGGAGACTTATGAGATGCATTTACAGAAATTAAGTTTGTTATTTTTAATAAAAATAATAAAGGAAATTGGATGCTTTGGAGCACATTTGTAGAAATCAATTCTTTGAATACAAAAAAATGACTGTAAATGAATTTAGAACACGTAGCTAACATTGTTGAGCTTGATAGGTTCAGTAACAGGCTTGGTTCTAATTAGTATGAATAGAGAAAGGAAAAGTCACTCAGTTAAGACAGTTAAATAACTATCAAAAAGATCACCTGAAGCGAAAACTGAGGTGTTACCACATGCTGGGTTATTCCAAATTTCAAAGGCCGTTGTAATGACATGCAACTACAGATTCTATAACTTTCAAGAGAGGTTGTTCTTTTGGCAACAGAATTCTAGACATACATATAGGACCTGAAACTTAAGATAAAATAAAATCTGGGAATTATAGAGGGGCCTAAAAGACTCTTTAGGTAAGTTAGATTTTTTTTTTTTAAGATTTATTTATTTATTTTATTTATGAGTACACTGTCGCTGTCTTCGGACACACCAGAAGAGGGCATCCAATCTCATTACGGATGGTTGTGAGCCACCATGTGGTTGCTGGGATTTGAACTCACGACCTCTGGAAGAGCAGTCAGTGCTCTTAACCGCTGAGCCATCTCTCCAGCCCCCGGTAAGTTAGATTTTTAATTAACTCCATAAGAAAGAAAGTCCTTCAACTCACAAGAGGGAAAAAAAATTCGGAATCCTTTATTTGCTAACTTATCAAATGCTCAAGGGGCCTTTACAGCATTGTTGTAAAAGGGGCCAAATAGTTGTTCAATTAATAATAAAACATGTTAAAACTAGTATTAAACTTAGCTGGTGCTCACAGTATCTTTGCAAAATCCAGATCAAGTGTTTTTTAAAAACTAATATTAAAAATGTGAGTATGGCTTTCTGAGCTGATAGCGCTCCTGCCAACATGGTGAACGTTCTAAGACCCGCCGGATATTCTGCAAGAAATGTGGGAAGCACCAACCCCACAAGGTGACCCAGTACAAGAAGGGCAAGGATTCTTTGTATGCCCAGGGAAAGCGGCGTTATGACAGGAAACAGAGTGACTATGGTGGTCAGACTAAGCCTATTTTCCGCAAAAAGGCTAAAACTACAAAGAAGATCGTGCTGCGACTGGAGTGCGTCGAGCCCAACTGCAGATCTCAGAGGATGCTGGCTAGTAAGAGGTGCAAGCATTTTGAACTGGGAGGCGACAAGAAGAGAAAGGGCCAAGTGATCCAGTTCTAAGCCGATTTTGTTATGAAGACAGTAAAATCTTGACCTTTCACCCCTTTTGATTGTCTTTGGTGAGGGAATAAATTAAAGCTTTCATAAAAAATAAATGTGAATATGGCATGAGGTGGCGGTTTGGGTCTTGAACTTGGAAGTCTGGGTTGGAGTTAAGGTTTAGTTAGATAACTTATGACCAATAATTTTCTGATCTCTGATTTCCTCACTGTACAACTAGGGAGTCGTGGGCTTTAGAATTAAATGAAATATTGCATCGTTGGCTGATGCCTCAAACATAGCAGAGGATTAGCAAATGTGATGCTCTTATTCCAGTCATAGGGATCTAGCACTTCAGTAGTCCACACCCTCTCTGGGCAGCAGGGGAAACTGCTGGGTCTTATGCTGTCTGGAACTAATCTAGTGTGATCAAGGAAATAACGCTTGGAAATATAGTATGTAGCATGTGAGAAGATGCTGTTTATTAGCATTTTAACTCTGAATCCTGACTGTAGTCTCTCTCTCTCTCTCTCTCTCTCTCTCTCTCTCTCTCTCTCTCTCTCACACACACACACACACACACACACACACAATTCCTAAGCAAGCTGACTCTCAAATTCTTTGAGCATAGAAATAAAAACACTACAATCATACTAGATACTTTATAGAATCTGATGTAAGAACTTTACTAAAAGTATAGTACTTATTTTCTTGGCAAACCACAGATAAGATGCTTACCTTCTGCTGACTGAGGTTTACCTGGAAGTAGCAATGATTCCTTGATAATTAACTACCCCTGTCTATTTTGTCTAATATGGCAATGGTAAAATGAAGACTGTCAGAGTATTTTTTTTTCTTATTACAACACCAGGATTAAGGATTATAAAACAAGCTAAGCTTTCAAAATGATTTTGTAGAAAATTTACTTCTATTTAAGTCTTAAACTAGGCTATGTGGGAATTTGCTCATGGAGACAAACTATTTCACTCACTTGCTTTGTGACAGCTAACCTTGAACGCGGTAGACATTTTCACCCTTGACAGTTCATCACTTTACTATATAGGTTCATTTGTTATTTTTTTGTGTGTACTTGTGTATATGCAATACATGTGTGTGTGCATGCATGCATGTATACGTATGTGTACACTCAGGTGTGCAAGTGTGTGAAGGTCAGCAGGTGACCTCAGGTGTCCTGCTCTCCTGCTCCTCATGGTTGTTTTTGAGGCAGGTGACCTCACTGGTCCACTGGCCAGTGGTCTGACTGTCCAGCAAGCTCCCAGCATCTGACTTTTACTTCTAGCACTGAGACTGTGGATGAGTGATGGTCTTTGCTTGGGTTCTGGAGATTCAAACTCAGGTCCCTATGTGTGCACAGCAAATATGTACTAACTGAAACATCACCCCAGTCTCATAGAAATTATTTTTGATAGTCTTCCTCATTATTGAAAATAGATCCAAATTAAATTATTTTTATAGACATAAATGTTATATGCAGAGCGTGAGAGGTGGTCCAGCAGTGAATAGTACTCTTGAAGAGGGCCCAACTTCAATTCCTGTCCAGCAGTTCACAACTCCCTGTAAATCCAGCTCTTCAGGCCCCGGCTGAACCATCTCTCCAGCCCTAAACGCAGGCTTTAAATGCCAGAAAGTAAAGAATCGTGGAATGTGACTTCAATACATACTCACGAGCACACAATTAAAAAATGCATCTTAAAAAGTTACATGTTACTTTCTGCTACAATTGTAGGGTAAACCTAAACAAACTGCATTTGATAAAAATAATAGCACACTTGAAACTTCACTGCTTTTCCTTGATCTCCCCCCTTCAACTCTTAAGTCAGGTTACCAGCACATACTCTGTTATGATCTAACCAGCTTTTTTAGGTTGTTTATGCTTTGAGACAGTGTTTTGTTATGTAGACCAGGTTGGTCTTGAACTCCGGAATCCAAGACAGAGTGCTGGAATTACAGGCATTTGCCACCATACCTTGTTTATGATACTTTTTTTTTTCATAAGGTCAAATTTAGACTGAAGCTAATGGAATTGTAATGGAATGTTAAATACTAACAAGAATGATGCTCCTAACACCATAAACATAGCTCAAATTCAATGAAAATATTGCCTGGGTTTTCTTCCCATCTCTTGCACTGAAGCCTTTCATTTGTCTACAGAGCCGTCACAAATGGGTGTAAATCGGTGGGAGATAAGTTCTATTCCAATGCTTGCTAACACAACAATAGCTAAGAGATCAAGGTTAAAACAATTCTCAAGAAACATAGATAGTGAGAAATAAAATAGAGCATAGAAAGCCAGCTTACTGTTTCACCAGTTTTCCCAATATCTCCTTGGTCTCCCAGTTCTCCCTGTTGATCAAGAATATAAAATTGCAGAAGTGACTATTGGTCAACAGAATTAATCACGACTTCCTCTGTCTCTATTCTACACAATCCTCTAGTATCAGGAAAAAGAGCAACAGCGATCTCAGTTATTCAAACTTATTTATAGGATTTTTGTGAAATGTGACCTTTCCCCCACTTTCATTCAAACAGTAATTGTTTACATATTGAAATCACATTCCCCGATTCATTACTTTCTGTCATCAAAAAAACATGTTTCGGGCTGGAGGGCTGGAGCGATGGCTCGTCTTGCAGAAGACACAAGTTTGATTGCAGCGCCCACACAGGAGCTCACAACCATCTGTAAATCCAGTTCCTGGGGATCTAGTGCCCTCTTCTGGCCTCCATGAGCACTGAACGTTTGTGATATAGAAATTCATGTAGACACATTAAAGGCTTTGTTAAGTTGCATTTTAAATAAAATATTTACTGTACTGTGTTATTTTCCACTGCTGACAAGCCTAAAGAGCCTAGCAGAGGGAAAGAACCAAACCCTGGACGTTGTCCTTTGGCCTTCACCTGTACCCTGTCACTGTGGCGTGTAAATGTAAAAGTATTTTCAAAACAAATAAAATGCCCTATAAAAGATGTTAAAAATATAATTAAAACCCTTGCACCAAGGATTCTGTTCTTCCAGCACAGATAACCCCAAAGCTGTTCTCAGGGTAAAAGCCTATAAGCCCCAGTCAGCAGAGCTTGCACCTGGAGACGGGACATTTATTTATTTATAACTCCTGAGGCACAATCTTGTAGTCCACAAGCTCTGTGAATCCAGAGATTTCGATAACACATTTGATAATAAATTTGACCTAATCTGAGTTACTTAACCTAAGAAAATCCTTTCATGGTTATTTTTCCCACTTACTTAAAAAAGACCTACATTTTGGTGTGGGGGTTTTAGTGCATCTGGTTTGGGCATGCTGCTCATAGCCCAGTGCAGGTGTGGACTAAAACCTACTATGACCCAAACTACTCTTTGTGACTACAAATGATGGATTCTGAAGCTCACTGGAGCTGTGCCCTGCAATCAGGGGCCACTTCCCTTCCATAAGAGAAGAGGGTTGCTTTTCCTCCCACAACCCTCAAGGGCCAGTAGCCAATGACTCCTGAGGAAAGGGAGACGCACAGTAAGACAAGTGATGAGGGAGGGGAGGGAAGAGAGAAAGGCAGGTAATGAAGGGAGGATAGACACAGAAGAGAAGGAGAAGGAGCAAGGGGAGAGAGTGAGAGAAGAGGAGAAGAGAGGGAGGGGAGGGAATCAGAAAGACAGAGACACACAGAGAGAGAGAGACAGACACAGAGACAGAGACAAAGACTAAGGTTGAGTGAAAACGCGGTGCACCACCATCAACTCCCAAGTATTTCCCAGAAATAGCTGCCCAGGTCGTAGGGGAAGGGGTAGCTAAGGAAGGGCAGTCATTGAAGGATTTCTTCAGGTTCTTTGATAACAAAGGCTTGCCCTGCTTCTGGTGTGGTACTAGAGAGGCACTACCTCTGACCAATCACAGAAATTCAACTGCTAGCCATTTTGTGGACACTGGAGCTTAACATTGAATGTCTTAGTACTATTTGGTAGGATAGAGATAATCCCAGGAAAGAATTGTTTTAAAAAGAATTGCTTAGAATTATTTTAGATCACCTTTCTGGAGTTTCTGAATATAATTTGAGAAAGCTGGACACACATTCTCCTAGTATGTTTTAGCTATCAATCTGTTGGTACATTAAAAATGCTTTAAGTCTTCCTCCACTGACCTAAAACTTGATGTCTAGCTTTTTATTTGGTAGAATTTAACATCATGAAAATTTATTTGTTCAGTATATATGAAACAAGCCTTAATTTGGGAAATTTGGTAAGAATACTCTGCTACTTCTATGAGTTTTAAATTTTAAGTTTGCAAAAAGTTAACAGTCCCTATAAACTGGTCTCTTCCGCACACTGAATCTCTGTGCTATTGAGTATTTGTTATTGTAAAGATCATCTAAAATATGAAAGTAAAGCAAGAAACCATGGGCTAGCACATCCTATCAAAGCCATACAGTGATGAAGGCTATGCAATGACTGTGTTAGGAACAGACTCAGGTGGACCAACCATTAGTTGTTTATTAAAGAACCTATACTTAAAAAGGAGATATTTATGTATATTTATTGCCCTGTATCTAATCTACAAATACTATCATAGTATTTATTTATTCAGTTCCATAAAGTTTATTACTTTGTATCTTGTTTGCAAACGTATATACAATGTATCCTAGCATTTCTTTAAATTGTATACCTATACAAATAAAGAAGGAGATATATGACTTATAAATTGATGTTTGAATAGTATTTAACATCTTACTGGTTGCCCATAAATTGAAATTTGTCCATTTAATTTGCATAAAAGTCTTCTCTTTATCTTCTTGAAAATTTGTATTTTCAAACTTTTAAAGCTTTTCAAAGTTCAGGCCCTTTACCTTTAAGCCATCTGGCCCTGGCTCACCCATATGCCCTTTTCGACCTGGTTTTCCCTAAAAGAAAAAAAAAAAAGAAAGGTCAATAAACATAGTAGTCATCACTAATAAAGGTGTCAAGGTGTTCTAACATTTCGGAAATGCAGTCTAAAATGGACAACTTCAAGGTATTTGATTCTCTTATTATATTCATTAACCACTCAGACTACAAATATGGACGGTCTCCAATGTGTCATGCACCATTCTCAATTGTGAGCATAGAGAGAACTGTCCTCATAGAACGTATGCTTCAGGGAACATGATAAAACAATGTAAAATGCATAATATATGTATTGTGAACATATATGCATATATGCATGCATATGCACACATGTGTCATATTAAGTTGTACATATAAAGGACAACAAATTAAGCAGGGAAGGGAGGTATCAACTCTTGTAATTTTCGTTTCTATGGTTTTTATGGAAGGAGACCTTTTTGAGAAGCTGGCCCTTGAGTATAGATTTTAAAAGGGAGCAAACTATATGGACATGGCAGGAATCACAGTCCAGGTACAGGCAAAGGCACTCTGGGAAAACGATATGGAATATGGGAGCAAGCATGGGGAGTCAGTGTGGTGCAGTGGAGATGCAGACGGAGAAGATGGAGAATAGGAGACTGGATCACATAAGACCTGGTAAGTTTCAGTAGGTTACTTGGCTTTCATTCTGAGTGAGGCAGGAAACCTTAGGGGAGCCTTGAGAAGAAATGCAGTATGACACATATTTAACAGATCTCCTTGATGCAAGGACAGAAGGAAAGCATGTAAATGGGACTCTACTGCAATGATTCAGTGAGGGACGCCCACCGTCTGGCTCAGGGCTGCAGCACAGGCAGCTGGGAGGAGAAATGGTAAGACAAGATGCTGGAGGAATGGTAAGACAGGATGCTGGAGGAATGGTAAGACAGGATGCTGGAGGAATGGTAAGACAGGATGCTGGAGGAATGGTAAGACAAGATGCTGGAGGAATGGTAAGACAGGATGCTGGAGGAATGGTAAGACAGGATGCTGGTGGAATGGTAAGACAGGATGCTGGAGGAATGGTAAGACAAGATGCTGGAGGAATGGTAAGACAGGATGCTGGAGGAATGGTAAGACAGGATGCTGGTGGCAGAGGTCAGGAGCTGTTCATGGTTCACATAGGGGATGTGGGAGAAGAGGAGAGGCAGCATGAACTCTGTAAACTAAAGTTCCTGAAAAAACAAAAACCCACCTGCAACTGGACCTTCAGATGAATGACTGAATACAGTGTCAATTGTTATGGAGAGTTTGGACTGTGGTTGGTTCAGAACCAAAATACTAGGGTCAGTTTTCAGTCCCCTTAATTGGCCATTTATTGCTTTCCACTGTATGTGACCTAACATCTCTGTGATTATTAGTTACAGCGTTTAGAATGTACAGAGAGGTAATTTCAGCCAACCACAAGGCTAACACCTGAGACTCCAAGCTTCAATTTCCCTGCTTTTCTGGAGTCTGACCTATCTTACTAATGTTTCCACAAATGTAACTGCAAAGTGTTGCGATTTAAATTGTTTCTTTGTTCTGTTACAATATAAACTTCATGTAACCGTTACTATATTGGAACATAGTATTTAAGGTAACTTGAATCTGTGTTCTTGGGCATGGCCACTCATTTTTGGCTCCAAAATAAACTCATCCTTTTGAGGTGATGGTTGTGTTTTTGTATGGACAACTAAATATTTTCAGTTTGAGTCACGAAATAATTGAAAAGAGAAGGACCCCGAGAATAGGCTGGATGGCAAATCAGAAGCTGAGTTTTGAGCATTTTAGTTAATATGGCTGTTGGAGTACAAGAGTAAAAAGTTCTGATTGAAAGATGTTGTTCTGGAAGTCGTCCGTGATGTAATTTCAATTGATAAGACACAGAGACTTGTCTAGAAAGTAGTGAGGATGGTTAGAGAGAAGTTTATACACTGAGACTTGGGGTTTTTCTAAACTTTTGAATTTGAAGAGATTAACATAATAGGAAAGTTGATACCAGAGACCTAGGACTTTTGCCCTCATAATCTTCACTATGTAAATAAATAAGATGATTTCCAGAAGACAGAGTTGATTTTCATAAGCTCTCAGAGATATGGATATTGACTACTGTGAGCTTTCAAGGCCGGGAAATGGCTGACGGATTCAGTAGCGGAAGCAACTTCTCTGTCTGTCACTGTGGGTCTGGAAGTGCTGCGACCCAAGTGGGCAGAGAAGAAGTGGAAACACAGAGACGAGAGTTTTACTGAGATGAGAGGAACAGAACAGCGCTTGGAAGAGAGAGCAAACCCTGTATGTTCTGCTTTTATTTATAAGGTGGAAGAAATAATAGTAGACCTGTGTGCTGGTGAGAATTCCCCCAGATGGAAAATGATTACCATGTCAGGAGTGTAGAGTTATTGAATGAGTTTCTCTGAGTCGCCAAGGATGTGGTAAAATGAAGAATGAAAGGGAAAGTTCTCACTTCAGGAAGATCAATAGACTGACTATTCATTCACCAAACAAGACAAAAGACTGAGGAAGAAGGGAAGGACAGAGACTGAGCGGGCGCAATGAAAACTGTAAACAGTGGTGAGACTTCCTCTGCATTAGACAGAGAAGGGAAAGCAGAAGAAAGAAGATGATAACAGAAGCAAACAGTCGCAGAGAGAAAGTCATGACATAGTAATTCAGAAACAAAAGAATAAAATGGGGAAAGAAATAGAATTCGGAATGTAACCAAAAAGATAGCATTGGAGGCCTGTTAGTGAGGTATTTGGAGTCATGAGGAAGATAAAGAACCATGGGGAAGCACTGAGTAGGTGTGGGTACCCTCTGATTGGAGACTATGCATCAGGAAGAAAAAGCAAGAGAAATAAGGTGCTGGCTGGGAAGTGGTAGTTTGTAAGTGGAAATAAGGACATCCTACAGCAAGGGAAGTGTGGGACTCCCTTTCCTGGACCCCATAACACAACTGTGTAGTAGTGAGATGGGACAGCCTCACTCCAGCCTGCACCCAGCCCTGGGTGTGTGTTTAGGACGAACCAGCAGTGGACAAGCATCGGCTCTGTTCTAGGATGCTAACACAGTGGACCAACATGGCAGCCTGCCCGCCCATCTTTCCGGCCTTTAGATCTGTCTGGATTTGGACCTGACACTACTCCTGCTCTTGAACCTGATTCAGCCTTTCATCTGAATACAGTATAAGAAATTTAGCTAAGAGTGAAATAATTTCATTTTTTTCTGATACTGACAATATTTTTAGCAATCCAGTTTTATTAAAACGGATAGTGAAAATACTGCTTTTAATTCTTAACATACAACTCATTTAAGCACCACAGGAAACTATGGATAACTGTACTAAAACTACACTATAAACAGGTATCTCTGGAGTCACTACACTTATAATCTTTGAAACCAAGCCATTCAGGACAGCCACGATGGGACTGCGACTTACGCTCTCCTTTAATCACCAGTACAAGGGTTTGTTTGTTTGGGGAAGGAGTTAGCCTTGAAAATGTAATATTGAAACCTTATTTCCATATAATATCTTGCATAGTTTTCAGTATTAGTGCTAATTCATGTGATATGCTTGAAGCAACCCTAGGTCCTAGATTGGTCCTCTGTGAACAGAAGTGAAATAATACAGACTACTGAAGAGTATGCGGTTCTCTTGTTTTCTAGGGAAGACAATTTTAAATGACCTCACTTTTCCTAGGCTCAAATAACATCATGTTCCATTAAGAGCTCTTTCTTACAAAATGGTGCCTCCTTTTCACATGCAAAGAAATGTTGTGAGACAAGGGCACAATGACTAATTAATGTCCTCCCACTAAATACAAAGCAAAACCTAAGAGAGTGTAATCTGTGACATGCTCAAGTAAAGAAGCAGACACACTTCACACGAGTTCAATGCCTCTTAGATATAACACACACACATCCTAATTATTTTAATTGCAAGGTTTGGCTATGGATAAAAAAATTATTCCAATTTATTTCCAGGTCTTAGAAAACAATAGCTTATATGTCACAAGATGGTACTATCTGATTACAATTAGGGGGAAATTATCTACTAGTTTTCCATAATTTCTATACTGGCATATCGACAAATCAGCATTTTCCAGAAGTATTCCTAAAATTACCTTACTTGATATTAGTTGGAACCCTTAATACTTTCCATACATTTCTAGGGCCATAAAACCACTGGGAAAAATGACAAGTGACAATAATACAATAAATGGGCTGGGAATTTATCTGGGTGACAGAGTGCTTATTTACCATGTCCAGGGTCCTGGGGTCACCCCTCAGTTCTGGGAGGAAAAAAAAATCTCTAGAAATATTCAGTTATCAGCTTACTTTATTTTGGGTGTTTTAGAATCATAATGGTTCTAACTTTTGCCGTCTGTTATTCATTAAAATATTATGCCCTCAAACTATTAAAAGACTGTTTTAAAGATAAACACATGCAGCAAAATATTTTAATTAATTTATTTTGAGAATATATATATATATATTTCTCTTCAACAAGCATGAAACAAAAAGCAGTTTTTCTTTTCCCATCAAAATTACACACTTTAAGTTTATAATTAAAAATTATAACCTTTAAAACATTTTCAGATAATAAGACATTTACATTTCTCCCTTTTTCATCCCAAACTCTGATTGAGCCACGGTCTTACTGTACACCTGGGGCTAGCCTGGACTTGTTGTTATGCCAGGCAGACCTTGTCCTCAGGATCTTCTTGCCTTCTCTTCAAGTACTGAAGTTACTAGCAGGTACCGCCTCACTGGGGTTTAGGGAATCACTCTTGTGATACTCACCCTTGATCCCAGCTCTCCAGAGGGTCCAATTGGTCCTTCTTCTCCCTTAGAAATAAATCAGAACAAATCATGGCCTAAAATAGTGTTTAAATACAGAAATCTTTATGCATTGCATTTATTCTGACATCTGAAGCTTGTTAGGGGTTACAACAAAAATTCCACTATAACTCTTACATTTTGGAATCCAATCCAATGTTTTAATATTTTGGTGATTATTTTATATTTACTTCAAAAGGAGCATGTGACATTGGATTGCTTTTTAAATTGGCGGGTGGCATATGTTATACAGGAAATTGGAATGGAGGAGATTAATGTAATTAAGAATCTCTGAGATTACTAAGGATAATTTCTAATTTGTTGTCTACAGAGAAATGCAACTCTGTTCTTCTCAGATGAAAATCAACACACACATTTACAGTATATTTAATAATCACTTATATGGAATGTGCTCTAATCGCATTTGATACTTCATTCATTCTCTTCCCCTCCTCCTTCCTCTTCCTGTTTCTTCTTCTTTTAAGACTGAGTCTCTTCTGTAGGCTAAGCTTGCCTCAGACTTGTGATCCTCCTGTCTCAGCTTTGCAAAGGATGAGATTATAGGTGGTGCTGCCATACCGGGCTAAAGGCCCACATTTGTAAATTTTAGTTTTGTCTGTGACTCCAGACACACAAAAAGCACATCTGATCCCTATCTAAATGTAGCTTTCAGAGCACACTATGTCTTACTCAAGTAATGCTTACTGTCAAATACTGTATTCTTCATTAATTTTTAGGCAAATTAGCTATAATGTCACAAAACATAAAATCCGATATATTTTTGTAAGAATCAAGACTGAATGGTGGAAAGAGAATGGAGATAAAATAATCAAAAAAAACTAAGTTCCAGGCATTATTTTCCAAGAAAAAAGAAAAAGCAAGTGTGCTCCATTTACAAATGTGTTGACACGTATTGATTTTCTCACCTTTAAGTGAATGGTTGATATTATTAGTCTGTGTTCCCACTCTTGACTGCATATATAGACCTCCTTAGCATCAGTTGCCTTATATATTTGGCAAACAGACATTTTGTTTGATTGGCAAGTCAATTAAATATAATTTATTAAGTCACAAATATAAAATAGTCATAAGTAGTAAACATGAATTCTAGTACAGATAAGTTTCATTTTGGTTTCAGATTCTTCAACATTTTTCATTGGTGACTACTGAAATAAATCACCAAAGAGCTCAGAACTCTGTAAAATGATTCCAAATTCCACTCACAAGTGCCAATAGAAATAACATGAAATTCTTTACAGAGAAAAACTGTTCACACTAAGGAAATTCTTTTCATTAAGCAAAACCCCAAAGTGTCACAAAAATAAAAAAGGAAATCCTAACTAAAAAATTGCTGACTGGACATGAATTTCCTCCATACCTGAGTTCCTTTGAGACCTGGAGGCCCAGGGGGCCCTCTGTTTCCAAGATGTCCCTATAAAAGCAATGCAAATATAGAAGATGGTAATTATACACTGACATATTTTTATCAGCCAGTATTACCACAGAGGTGGGAATACTGTTGGGTACTGTTTCTCACTAAGAGATATCAAAGTGAGACGACATTGAAGCTGAGAAAAATCAAAAAGTATCTAGATGATGCTAGGTTTCAAATAATTTTTTGTTATTTTTCAACTTTCAGATGTCTTTTCGGGCAATTCTTTTTATTTAAAGCAATTGGCACAACTGTTGTTATTCTGATAGTAAATATACACATTACATAAAGAGTTCCACAAATCTTTTGAGAGATCTGTAGAGTGTGACATTTGTTATTCATATACACAGTCCTTCAACTTCTTCACACGTGCTGCTAAATTGAGAAGGGTAATTTGCAGAAGAAACAAACCTTATCACCAAGACTATTAAATTCTTCTGTTATCAATAAAACATTTTAAAATGTGATTGCTCGCTAGATGAGAACTTGTTCAAAATAACTGTACAAGTGGTCTTCTGTTCATCCAACATCCATCCAACATGGTACTTTATCAGCGGTTTTGTTGGAAGTGCGCAATGTCTCAGAAGAGTTTTATGTACGACTTTCCTAAGTTTATTTCTCATGATGTTACAATGTTTCTGTCACAATTAAAAGTTTTGATTTTTTTGTTGTTTTGTTTTAAATCTGTTTTAACTGTAACAAATAACTCCGTGGCATTGAAGAATAAATGTGCCCCGGTGACTTGCATTTTTAGTTTTGGAATTCATTAGTGACAAGCCATATAAGACCTTCTGTAGCTTTTCCTCTTTCCTGGTTGTACTTTAGTTCACGTGAGAAATAGGAAATGGCTGCTTAGCCTTATGTGCATCCTCACAAGTGTGAGACACGAATATTATCACTCACAAAACTACAACACTCAGGCTAGCAAAACAACTTTTAATGGACTTTTCCTGTTTTTGAAAGGAAAAGACGCGTTAGGGAATGGAGATGAAACTGTGCTATTTCATGTTAGCCTAACACATTGATGCGTTTATGACAAAAATGACTTTAATTTCCTCCAAGGAAACGTTTGTTTTCACTCTTGACCTTGCGGTGTGAGGTTAAATGTCTCTAACTCTGAATATAACGGTAGATATGCAGCGGAGACTGAATTTCATCAACGTATTCAACATCCCCAGGGACAGCGTTCCGTTTAGCAGTGAGCAAACAACAGACGTCTCTCTCCTAATTTCCAACTTCAGCGAAACTATGGAATAAACAGAAGAGCCAGTAAAGATGCCCAGATAAAGTAAAAGACATCATGTGTCCATTGGGACATTAATGTTGTTAAAATGCCCAGGGCACAGAAGGAGACCAGCACATTCAGTGCTTCATTGTAAAACTCCAGAGTTGTCTTTTGGAGAAACACGAAAAAAAAATCCTAAAACTCATACAGAACCACAAAGGACCCCAATAGTACAAAGTCTTGGAAGGAAACATGAAGCTGGAGTTGTCGTGCTTGCTGACCTTAAAACATACCTCGCAAAGATGCTGAAATCACCAAACTGCAAACTGCCATAAGAACATGCAGCATTTAAGCCAATAGAATAGGAAATCAAAAAATAAACCCATCAAGGTCTCCTTGGTAAGGATTCTAAGCAATGAGAAAAGAGCAGTCTCTTCAACAGTGTTGGGAAAACTTCTCGTTTCAGGAAGAAACTTGTAATACCTTACTTCAACATGCTAAAATTGATTAGACTTGAATTGGGAGATCTCAAACCATAGTCATATAGAAGAAAATACGGGAAAATGTCAAAATGCTGCTGGTGCCCACGGCATCAAAGCACAAACAATGAAAGTACAAATGAGGATGCAAGATGAACTCACACTGAGAGCTTGCACATCAAGGACATGAGCAACATGGTCAAAGGACAGCCTGCAAAGTGGGAGAAATATCTGCAAGCCACATACCCACTGTTGCATTGAAATCAAAACGTATCAGGAACTCCTACAGCTCAAATCAAAGCTCCACACAGCCAACTAAAATTTGGGCAAATGATTCAGGATATACATTCAAAAGAATTGCGAACAGGCTCTCAGAGATCTTCATGTCTATATCTGATGACACATTATTTACAATAGCCAAGAGTCTGGTTACTCCTTCGTCCGCTGATGAGCAAGTAGAGAAAACGTGTTATATACAAATGATGCAACTTTTAGCTTTAAAAAGAAGGAACTGTTGTCACAGGCTTCAAGATGGATAAACCTTGAAGACATTATGCTAATGCAATTAGCCAGTCACAGAACAGCAAATGCTGCAGGATTAAACTTATATAAGGCATATAAAGTATACAAAATCATAGAAGTTCACAGTAAATTGGCCTTGTCTGGGACTGAAATAACCCAGGGATGCTTTTCAGTGGGTACTTTAAACAAGCAAGATGAAAAAGTTCTGGAGATCTGCCCTATAACAACAAACACACATATTTTAAATATTACAGTACTTGCTACACACTGATGAAGCTGTCAGGAAGACCCTCTATATTATGGGTTTTACGCAAACACACATGCTTGCACATATACACACCGCTTTTCTATAGATTTGTTAGGATTGTGGTTTATATACTTCTATTTTATATTTTCATATTTAGTATCTGTCACAATTTGCTTCTTAAGCTCTTGAAGTAGGACGGATCTCTTTCTGTTTCCTATGCTGTGTTCTTATTGTTATTATTTTATAGAACCACCACTCGACTAAATCTAATCATTCAACTCCAATCCCAACTCACCTGTGAGTCCCCACGAACTACAGCCACACGACTAGTCCCTCCTCTAAAACTCTTAGCTATTCACTTGTCCTCTGCTGCCTAGTAATTATGCTTTTAACTTTTCCCACGTGGAAGACGTTTCTAGAAGATTATAAACTCCTAGTACAGAGAGGACTATGTCTTAACCTCATTTTCTGGTTACTGCTGAATATATTACAAGCAATAACACAGAAGAAATTTACCCAATATACAAACTCAATAAATATTTCTTAGCTGACTAAACACTGCCTAGAGAACAGAACTGTTAATGCCATAAATATGCATATAAAATCTTGACTTAGTGGATGGAAAGTCATCTAGTTGAATGATCTAACGTCATGCGTCTTTTCCTGCTAAGTTGACTTCCCCCTGTACAGATAAACATATGACATGTTGGAGTCAGTCAAGGCTAGAACTAGTTCCATGTATTACACAACAAAATCACACAGATACTAGGCTTCCTCTGTATACTTATCAGGACCGTAATACAAAACATAGTAACAGCTGGTTTCAGAATTCCTAATTCCATAGCCAAAGCAACAACACAAGCCACTGGAGCAACACATACAGTATTCCTCTGTTTACTGGAGAGCAGAGAATATTTATTGGGTACTCGTACTTTCTCCAGCGACCAGCAGAGGATGTGGTTTTGCTGATGTTATGGTATTCTCGAAAACAGATTGCCAAATTGAGTGTCTCTCAGGAAGGCTTACTGAAGAATGTTTGTATCTGTATACAACTACACACAGAGAATTCCACAGTCTGTAGAACCATAAACGACAGAGGTTTGCAATCCTGGTTTGAGGTTTTCAGTCAACTGGCAGAAAATGAAGAGAAGATGAAAGGCTTTCACAGAGCTTTGGCCTGGAAAGAATCCTCCCTTTTATTTAACACAGGGCAACCATTTCTTTTCAAATACAGTATGCATGGTTTTCTTTTAAATATATGTGTTCATGTTTATTTCATGTGTATAGGTGCATGTCTACATGTATGTATTCAGATCATGTGTGTATCTGGTACCCACCAAAGGGACAAGAGAGTGTCAGGTCCACTAGAACTAGAGTTACAGAGTTTGTAAACAGCCATGTGGGTCCTGGGAACAAAGCCTGGATCCTCTGCAAGGATAGCAAGTGTCTGTCCCACTGAATCATCTCTCCAGTCCTTACACGGTATTCTTGATTATGTCACGACTCACCAAGCTTTAGTGATTTACATTATTCCTACTTCCTAAACAAGACATGTCATGCAACTAGAGTTTAAGGATGTGTCCAGGACACAGTGTACATTGCTGAAGAATCATATCATATATATGTCATAAGTATGATAGGCTTTATTTTTCCTGCCTAGAAACAATTTCAAGACAAACGAGAAAGACCAAGTGTATAGACAAAATCAGATCTCTCATTCTTCAAACATAAAGCCATAGTCTTCTAACTGTTACGTTCTCTGATTCTTTTGATAAAATAATGTCCCCTAAAAGTTGTTTTAAACTCGAGGCATGTACACAAAATAAATTAGTCAACATTATTGGTGTTAATGTATCTATAAGATCTTATATTAAATAAGAAATTATAGAACAAGATACTCCAAGAAGCAATCATGATCTGTTGTCACTTCAACAACTGGCATTTGTTAAAGTGTCTGGCTTTCAGGCCTTTTACTCAACTTTTTAAAAAAGGTGTGTGTGTGTTTGTGTGTGTGTGTGTGTGTGTGTGTCTGTGCACGTGCACACTCACACATGCACACACGTATATGCATGCTAAGGCATTGATGAAGGAACCAGAAGATAGGCCACGGTAATCTGTTCTGTCCTTTCACCACGTGAGTTTGAGCGTGTGATTGATCTAGAGTCTTCAGGCTTGGTAGTAGGTGCTCCACCTGCTGAGCCAACCAGAAGGCTCACTGATCCATTTTTAACATTACTTTTAAACATTACTTTGAAAGATTTATTTGCAAGTTTGTAAGCCTGTTTACCTGTATGTACATCATTTGCACACAGCTTTCAAAGAAGGCCAGAAGGGGGCATCAAATTCCCTGAAACTGTTACCAATAGGTATAAGCCACCCAATGTGTGTGTTAGGGATTGAACCTAGGTTCTCTACAAGAGCAGAAAGTGCTCTTACGTGCTGTGCCATCTCTCCAGCCTCCATTTTAAACATTTCAATTGTAATACTAAGAGGATGATCTAGAAGAGACTTCTTAAGATTACCTTTGCAACCATATTAAGAAGTTCAGCTGACTTGTTTTTTTCTCTTCCACCAAACTGAGATGCAATATGGATCTCCACCAAGCACAGTATACATCCCTGCCCATCAAAGTCAACGATCATTCCCTGATTTCCAAAGAACAAATCTGGTGCTCACTTCTAGGGGCTCTCACAGAGAACTATCAACTCTTTTCAGCAACTTATGTATTTACTATATATGATGTGTGTGTGTGTGTGCGTGTGTGCCTGTATGATTTTATCTGCATCATATGTGTGCAGGAGCCCACAGAGGTCAGAAGAGGGTGTAAGATTCTCCAGAGCAAAAGCTACAGGTCACTCTGAGCTATCATGTAGGTTCAGGGAACTGAACCTGGGTCCTCTTCAAAAGCAGTAATCTTTTTTAACCGTTGACCTATCTCTCCAGTCCCTGTCATCCTTTTATATTGTACTTACAGTTTGTCATAACTATGTTTCTTGTCAAACTAGAACACCATCCAGAAGAGGTTAATGCTTCTTATACAATGGTCATTATTTTACCCTTAGCACCTGACATAACACAAAAAAGCAATTCAATGTAGATTGAATGAATGAACTATTGAGTGAATGAATAAAGAAACAAAGAGATTTGTGTTCAAGTTCCTAAGCAGGTTAAGGGTAGCATAGAGTAGAGCAGAGACATTGTAACAGCAGTCTCTATATGATGTCAGGTAAAGGCTAGCATAGACTAGACCAGAGACGTAACACCAGTGTCTATATGATGTCTTCCTTGGTTTCTTATTTCTACGTTATATCTTAGTTTACTGATGGCTATTATTTTTATATGTCAAAGTAAGTATCTTGTCATACTCATCCAGATCTGCAAATTCTCCTAAGTTCTCTATATTTTTCCTATTATAGGTCAATACATTGTGTTAAACCAAAGTCTCTGTTTCATCTTTCTTTCTCTTCCATCACCTTCCTTATCAAGTTATCAAGTTTCCTTTTTTTTTCACATCTTCAAAGCAACTTTTACCCATAGTTAGTCAATAAATCATCCAGCCTGTGAATCTCAAGTTTCTGTTATGAAATTCCTAGCATTTTATTCTGGTCACTGTAATATATTTGAGATAAATTTGTCTTTTCTCAAAGACCTTGTAGTCTAGCAGAAAGACAGACATGCATTAAAACAGATATAACTTATGGTGATAATTGTTTAATAGGGGTTTTTCAAGGTCATAAATAAATAAATAAAATAGCATTAGAAAATAAATTAGATGCTAAGGAAATGTGGACAGTGTTGTATGTGATGCCCAGATACTTGCTGGCGGATGAGAAGTGCAGGAAAGAAGGTTACATCCAGATAAAAGAACCGCATCCAAGAAGCTGGGAGGTTTGAACAGGCACAGCGTGGTTTGTAAATCTAAGAAGTCTCCTAGAGTAGATCCTTTAAAAACGTGATGAGCATGAATGTGTGCTGCCGAGTCAGGGGATGGTTAGAGCACAGACGATCATGTGTTAAAAATAAAGACGTGCACGTCTTCACAGAGATGCACGGCAGAGCTCCCGAGGACCCAAGCACAAGAGTGGCAGCCTGAGATGTATACTTTCCACAGATTTTTTTTCCCTTTGGCATCATCACTGTGGGGTTGAGGGAATGCCAGACGGGAGGCAGAGAGAGTAACTGAAGGTCTCACACACTAATCCTGGATAAAAATGAAGAGGGCCTAAGCTACAATATTGGCAGTGAAAACAGTTTCAAAAAAGAAAGAGGGGGGAAATTTTGAGTCAAGGGAAACGGTAAGAGGTTATAATTGATGGCACAAGGTTGCTCAGGACTCCAGAGATGATTTGATGTGAAGCATATGTGGGTCAGGGGTGTGCAGAGGCATGCTTCACAGCCGTGGAAAGGAAGTGAAACGTGACTTCCCAGAGGGGTGGCGGTGGGCAGGAGGTGAGCTTGCCAGGTAAAACACAGGATGCACAGTTACATTAGAATTTCAGAGCCACCGTGAGTGACATTTAGCTTCAATACTTTCCAAATCCCTACGTCTCCATTCCCTCACCAGTTACCTTTTTCTGAGTGTCACAGAGCCCACCTGTCTGCTCCTCAGTCATCCTGTCAGTCCAAGTGTTACCTTTCTGACAACCATGCACACCGTGCACACCTTCACTGTGCGTAACAATCTGTATCGTCATGGGAATGGTTCCCATGCTTGCAGACACTGCACATTTCTTTGGGGTGTGTAAATGTGTCGAGTGGTCAGGATGGCTGGAAAGTGAGCCCAGGCATTCCCACGTCAGTCACATCTAGATTTTTCTGTGGATATTGGAGATCTAAATTCTAATCCTCTTGCGGCGTGTCAGGTACTTTACCTCGTATGCCATTTCTCCAGCCCCCAGCCTGTAAAGTTCTTGAAAACACAGATTAGGCCTTTCTGTCTAGGGTCTAGTACAGTGGCTTCCACTTGGGAGTCACCCAATAAATATTTGTTAAATGAATAAATGTTCTGCATCAAATCTTTATTATTTCTCCAGGCCTAGCTCCACTAGTACATCCTGTGCTCTGGCCCAGGGTAGTAAGTCTGCTATCTTAAATGGAAGCCTTATGCACTCAGGCTAATCCTCAGACAGAACTCGAGGCCCACACCCATAGCTGAGATACACTCTGAGCAGCCCTGCCCAATGCCTTCCAAACCTCTAGGCTTGGGCAAGGAAGCACACACAGTGCCTGCCCAGCACCTCCCTTACTATTTCTTGCAACTGCATTTATCATTATTGTTTATGATTACTGAGTGTGTGTCTGTGTATTGGTGTGTACACGTGAGTGCAGGTATCCTAGGAGGCCAGAGGCTTCCTAGGCCTCTGGAGCTAGAGTTATGGGTGGCTGTAAGTTAGTTGATATGGGTTTGGGTGGATCAGAGTTGGGTTCTCTATAAGAGTGGTATATACTCTAAACTAACTACTGAACAATCTCTCCAGAATCATCACCTGGATTCTGTAGTTCCTCCGTTTGCCTTCAGCTTCTTCCTGGTTTAAACTACCTTTTATAGTGACTTGAGGGCTAACTTCTAAAGACACAAACCAGATGGCATATTTGCTACTTAAGTAACTGATTACTCCCTGATGCCTGTACGATCAAGTAGAAACTATGGTCTGATCATGAGTGTTCCCAACTCTGTGATCCCAAGCCAAGTGTGAAGAACCCAGACGTGGCAGTCACCTCTGTGTGAAAACCCTGGCTGTGCTGCTTTATAGCTATGTGACTGAGGACGTATCTGCTTTTTACATCTTCAAAATGTTTATTTATTGCATTCACAGATGCTGTGGTCAACATCTGGATGGTGGAAGAAAACTTGGGGGAGTCAGCTCTTTCCTTCTATCATGTAGGGTTAGGGGAATCGAACTCTGGCTGTGGCTTTGTGGCAGGTACTGTTCCATATGTATACATTTTCATCTATATCTACAACATATACACATACACATATAGTACCATTCTATTATATATATATAGTATATATACATACTATATTATATATATATATGTATGTGTATACATATACATATGTATATACACACATACGCATATATACACACATGTATATAGGTGTGTATATATTATACACACACATATATATGACTATATATATATATACATATATATATATACATATATGTATATATGTATGTTGTGGGAAATATTTAAAACGACGGCATCTAATCTGGCTTTTCTTAATCAGCTGCCATGTTCCCAACTAGCCTAGGCCTGCGGCCAGGAGCAGCAGCTGGATAGTCCGTTCAGGTGGCCAGAGACACTGGCCCTGCTACCCACGAGAAGCCAGCGTGGGAGATGGCTCTGCCAATCTTCCACGCTGTCTCTGCAAGGCTGGGCTGTGCCCAGACCATCCCACCATCCATGTGGGCCTGGTAGGAAATGAGACTCTGATACTTAAATATTAATCAAAGGCTTTATATGTTTGGTAATGCTCAATAACAATATGACCACATAATTATAGATGTTTCCCAATTAATTAACCTAGATATAAGTTGTTACTCAGGACTGCTCCCAGTACATGTGTGGTCATCCATGGCACCTCCTATATCTCTGTCTCTGCCTCGCCTCGTTCCTCCTCTTCCTTTTCCTCTTCCTCTCCTTACTCCTCCCACCTTATCTCCTTCACTCTCAAATTCCAGTCAGCATCACTCCGTGGTTTTATTCCTAACACTTGCTTACTTATGACGCTCAGTCTGCACGGCCATCTGAGATGCGTCTTGATACTGAAACTTCCAATGGTGACTTCCTTGTGTGTACACAGAGTAAAGGCATGAAGGTGTGAAGGTTTCTTTGTCTACATCAGGTTTCCTCATGTTACATCAAGACTCTGGGATGGCATGTTTATTCTTTTATTATGACAATGGGCATTCTATCCATGCTAAAATCTTTCTCCCACTTACTGTCCACTATAACTTTAAGTAGTTGCTCTCATTATTTTTTCTCTCCTTAAAAAAAAAACCCTTTAAAGTGATATCTATGACTTTCCAATATTATCCCTCTAATACTTACAAGAAATTCAGAAAATCACTTAACACTGACAGGATTCTAAACTCACAATGTTTATTAATTACTGGTAATTCTAGTATTCTTAAGATCTTCTTCTACACATATTAAGAATTTAAATGAGAACATTCTAGATATCCACACTCAGTATGGTTTTTATTTGTTTTTTACCTTTGGTCCTTCAGGTCCATTTGGTCCAGGAATCCCAATGTCTCCTGGAAAACCCTAGTAAATATAAGTAGGTAGAGAGTTTATTCCACAGCCAATTACTTTAAATCTATAAGCATATAAAACATCTTGTTGACTGTATCCTTTGTCCAGTTAAGACAATTTACTTTCTTCAAAATTCAGTGTAAATGATTATTAAACAAATGTTCTACCCTGGGATTAAAAACAAAACAAAACAAAACAGTATCCTAAAAAGAAAGAATTTACTTTATGAATGGTTCTGCGAGCCTCGCTGTGTGAAGAACAGAAATGTATACTCTGGTAATTTGCATACCAGATTTAAAATATGTTTCATGTGGAGAAACAATACATTGAGGAAATTTGTGTCAAAAGACAAGTAAGGCAGTGTTCCTAAGGACTTCCTACCAGGCTGGTTACCAAAGCTTATGACATGGTTAACAGAGATTTATTGATTGCTTTACTGGTCAAAGGAAATCAGGTCCACTTGATGTTTATATTCATGCACATATAAAACTGTATTCATCTAATATTTCAAACCTTCTCTCTTGAGTACTTTATATTTACTGGAAAGAAAAGTCACGGTGGCCTTGAAGCAATATACTTGTCTTCAAGTTCTTGCGGAAACATGTGGTAGCTACCTCCACCTCTTACCAGCGTTTTCCTCTTCCCCAGTGTTCACTACTTGAATGAATATTACCTGGAGTTCCAAGCCAACGGGTTTTATACTTCACCTTTAAACACTTCTTTTTCTTCTCTTAAAACTCTGACACCACAAAACAACTTAACGCAGTGTTTTGTCTTATTTTACTTTTCTGTCAGACTGTAAACTCCTTGGGTGGACTTACTGTGTTTTTCCAGTGTCATACTCCCCAGCAAGTACGATGACATCTGGTTTGAAGTAATTGCTTTTTGTTGTTGTTGTTATTGTCGAGTGACTGACTTACTTCTTTTGGAAGAGAGGACAGCATGTCCTGTGGCTAATTTGCTACCCTTGGTCCTCATTTACAACCAGTCAGAACACTGGCTCAGAACACCCTCACAGTCACATTCATGAACTGTCCATTTTCCAGACAACCCCAGAACACCTTATCATACCAGCAATCAAGAAAGCTATCACAAACATTGAAGCTAGAGTAAATTAAAAATAGTTCTTAAGATGCTTGGGTGAGAGTTCACAAACAAAATATGGGGGGAAAGTATTTTTTTTCCAATGGGGAGAAGAGCTGGATTGAACTTAACCACAATAAATATATTAAAATTTATAAGTTCAAATAAATCAACTTTAAAATTGGCCATCTATCTACAGGATAAGCGGAAGCTCACTTATTATGTGGAAAAGTGATGAGAAAAATCAGCAATTAAGCATTCATTTGCTTGTGCTTATATTCTGTACAGCTTTCATCCAAATAGTAGGTAAGGACAATCTAGCCGTCCCCAAAGCCTATAGCAACACCACACATGCATCCCCACAGATAGTGGATGACAAAGACATGTGCTTGCAGATGGAAGAACATAGGACAGCCTGCTGACTTGCCAAAACAAACCTCAGTATGGTCAGGACTCTGGCGTGTGACTAGCAATTTTCAAGAAAAACAGAAATCAAGGAACACATAACACCACACCATGAGACTATAATCAACAGCGACTGTGTAAGTCAAATAGCTGAGTGCTTCCTCTGCTAAATTATAAGGGGGTGAAGAATGGAGAATGAACGTACACACGGAAAGAAACCCCAAACTGAAAAAAACAAAGCAAGAAACAAGCAGGGTTTGGGTGGCAACAAGCAATACTGCCTTGACCTTACAGTACTTACAAGGAAAGATGTCTGAAATTTGTGTGTGATACACATTTGTTTTACAGTCTCTTGTGATGGTGACTTATTTATTTATTTTTTTTACAGTGAAACAGTAACAAAAATCAGGTAATTCTAGTTAAACATGGCATGTCTGATGTACATGAACACTTGCATCTTTTGTAACTCAAAATATCAAAAGGATACAAGAAAATAGATGTGAAATGCCACAGAGGAAGAGAACGAAACAAAGGCCATCAAAAGAAGTAGAACGTTTTAAAATTAAAAGTTTAATGAAGATCTATGAGGTTCATCTGCACAGTTATTAAAAGAAAAAATTCCATGTCCTTCCCACATGGGTTAGCTCAGAAACTTGGCCAATGGATATTTTCTATATTTTAAGTATTCATAGCTGGACTACTCCCAAGTAGAGATCTTTTCATTTAAATAATACATTTTAAAATAGAAAAAAAACCAGTTAACTGGGTCAGCTGAGTTTTCATGGAAACACCCAGAGAAGAATTTTCAATTTAATGTTTAAATTTACTGCTCAATTTGTAAAGCCAATGATGGCACATGGATACACAAGCCAAGCACTGAAATGTCAGAGAGTTTACATGCTAAAAAATTATAGTATATTCTTAGGGACAAGACTTCTTTATTTTAAAAGTCATATTGTCAGGCAAATTACAATAAGTGAAGTAAAAACAAAAATCAGATAAAAAGATGTCCAGATTTAATGCTTTATATTTAAAATAACAGTGACAAGTCAGAACATTTTCTCCCACAGAGAGATTCACTATTTCAGTTAAGTCATCAGATCACACTTCTTGAGAACATAATACCCTAGTGTGGAGGAGGAAGAAGAGGAGGAAGAGGAGGAGGAGGAGGAAGAGGAGGAAGAGGAGGGGGAGGAGGAGGAAGAAGAGGAGGAGGAGGAGGAAGAGGAGGAGGAGGAGGAAGAGGAGGAGGAGGAGGAAGAGGAGGAGGAGGAGGAAGAGGAGGAGGAGGAGGGAGAGGAGGAGGAAGAGGAGGAGGAGGAAGAGGAGGAAGAGGAGGAAATTCTGACTTCTGGGGCTTTCTTAACAGAAATTCTGATCACAAATTGTTACTGAGAAGCAGAAAAAATGAGGTAGCTTTAAAAATAATAAGTGCAAATGTGTCTTCTATTTTCAGAGCCTTCACATCTGTTTGGTGTACAGAGAGTGATTCAGTGTTCTCTCCAGTAAAAACAAAGTTTTATTATTCTCTAATCACTAAAGGCTGGAGACTAATTCACATGCATTTTTATAACAAAACCTGGGAACCAAGGCACTAGCAGATTGCATTTGGTTCCTAGGAAATCATAAAAGTGAAATACTGCCCTTCTTACTTAGTGGTAGCCAAAAGCTCAAAAACTAGTTTCCTAAGAAGGTAACACTGATATTTTTGAGTAGCTTTCCGATGAGACTAATATATTTCAGTTTTTAATCAAGATCTATATTTCTTCCAATTAAAGCTGCAAATGGATAAACAAGAACCAAAAAGCAAATATAATGGCTGAATTAATGAAAGACAGTCGCAAGATGGAACAAACTGCATGAACCACAAGTGTCTCATGCTACGTGAAAAAGGCCAGACTATGAGTCATTTATATAAATACTTTGGAAAATGTGGATTAATGTAGAATAATGAAAAATGTTTCCTCCAAAGGCTTCCTATGGAGGAAAGGCGCAAGAAGAATAGAAGGATAAAAAAAAATTAAAAATTATAAAGATGTAATACCTGGCTTTGATAGCTATATCTATTGCTTTGACTTAATAATGGTATCATAAATTATCTATAGGTAAAAATAGTCAATTAAATAGTTTAAATATTTTCATTTTTTACCACCTATCAATTATATAATTGAATAAGTCATTTTGGTTGTTGTTTAATGAATTGGTATTGGGTACTGTGATGGATGTTATTGATAATTAACTTCATAGTATCTGGAATCACCCAGGAGATATGCCTCCAAGCACATTTGTGAGGGATATTTAGGTTAGCCTCTTGGTATGATTGTAAAGGATTGTATTGATTAGGTCAACTGAGGTGGAGAGAACCACTTACACTGTGGGCAACACCATTCCCTAGGCTTGCATACTGTGGTCGATACCATTCCAAAGGTGAGCGTAAAGAGAAGGAAGCTAGCTAAGCACAAGGATTTTCTGCCTCTGCAGATGCAATGTGGCCATCAGCTTCTGCTCCAGGGCTTCCCTGCCATGATGGACTATATCCTTGAACTGGGAGCCCAAATAATCCTTTCTCCCTTAAGTTGTTTTTCTCAGAGTATTTTTTATCATAGTTACAGGGAAAGCAACCAGTGCAGGCATGTTAGATAACTATTGTTTGTGGTAGGTAACTGTGTGTGATGATGCAAACATCTTTAGAAAAAAAAGATGGAATTCACTCACTGAATTAGCCCTTGCGTAAATCAACAGATTATTTGACTATTTTTTAAACAGATTATTGGATTATTTTTTTAGGCAAGTAGCATGTTTGATTATAATACTAGCTTGAAAACAAAGCCTGTGTTTTGGATCATTTGGGATATTCTGATATTTTTTTACAGTAGCTTTAAATATTATAAATTGTTATAGATGATATTTAGGCTACTTAAAATCATAGAATATGTTTAATTCTTGTAGGCGGTGTTTGTTCTTGTGCTTTAAATACACAGAACACATTATGATTTGGATTGTACTTATCCTCTGAGTAGCTTTGAAATCCAAAACTACTAGAGATGAATGGGGTCATTTATTTAAAAAAATAGCCACAAAATACAATTGATAAAAGCAACATGCAGATTATGGATTTGTACATGGAAGCTAGGGAAAGCCTAGTCTGTTATTTGTTATAGAGTACATTGATTAAATAAAATGCTTAATAGCCTGAACTGATGGCCAAATTAAAAATGAACCCTCTTGTGTGTGGTGGTGTAAACACATGGTTATACACATGTGTGTGGACAGCAGACGCCTTTTCAAGTCCTTCCTCAGGTACCATCTGCCTTGTTTTCTTTTGAGACAGATTTCTTGCTGGCCTGGAGCTTGTAAAGTAAGCTAGGCTGGCTGCCCAGTGAGCCCCAACATCCCTCCATGAGTTTGGAGAACTAACTCAGGCCCCGGTGTTTTAAGGCAAGCATCTTATGAATTGAGTTATAACCACAGCCCCATTAACGCTATTCTAGGTAATTACATTGCTATAGAGTTTCAAAAG